ATGGTTTCAAGCACTCTCCGTTGATGAAGCCCAACTTGTTCTTCACTGACAGCGAACGGAGAACACCTCTCTTCCATGAACTAAAACCAACTCCATCGAAGGGAACAGGGACCAACACCGCACCTGCACTATCAGAAGGATGAATATACAATTGACTTCCTACATCAATGGGAGTCGGAACAGAGGATTCAACAGCTGGATTGACAACTTCAACCATTATGAGAATTGAATAGATCGAAACACAGAGATATGAGATCGAGAGAAATCGAATCGATAGAATCGTGAATCGTGAAGGGAAAAACAGAGAAAACACAAAGGAAAGAGAGAAGAATGAAATTGAGGAAGAGAAATGCCGTCAAGGCTCTGATACCATGTTAAATCTCGCTATTCGAGCTCGAGAATCACCATTAATGGTGAATAAGAAGCTACTGCAACAATGCCAAGAGAGAACGACTTTGGATTCTTATTCATGAAAAGTAGTTTTGGAATGAATACAAGCTATCTATTTATACACATTCTAACTCTAACTAACTATGGTTAAATAGCTAACTAACTATTGTAACTAACACTCACAGTATTATAACAAACTATATACAATACGTAATTCTTAGATCTTAATAGTTATTAAATACAAGTTTAACCTTGCATTTTTTGGTCCATGACCATGTTCCATAGTCCTCCAAGATCCATATATCCATCATATCATCAAAGATAAACAATTGACAGAGAGACAAAGACTCATCCTTCACTAAAAGAGACATCGTTTGATGTAATTTCCATGAGCTACAACTTCCGGGATGAGGCATATTTGAGAACTCTTCTTTGTCCATATTAAGCACCAAGATACCTTTAGCACAAGGAGGAATATCCGGTTTCTCTAAATCTCTACCCACAAGCAAATGCACTGATCCATTGACAATTGCAGGAGAGTCATTCGGCACAAGATTGGGAGTCGGACAATTAATTTTCCTCTTCCACGTTTGTGTCCTGACAGAGTATATGGAATACTGAAACCAATTATCTTTTCCTTGTGCATAAATCAGTTTGAATTGTCTTGTCAATGAACAATAATAAAAGGCACACAATTTGCCAGGGTTGAATTTATGCTGTACAATTACTTTTTCTTGTGTTATTGGATTGAAAATGGCATAGGTACGCGGATAATACTCAGCAGTGAACAGAAGAACACCTTCACAAGAGTATTGAAGATGAGATTTGTTTCTAGCCATATTAATCATATGGTTGCGTTTAAGAAGTACTTTCGTGAACATCTTCTCCTCCTCCTTATTAAGACTTTGATCAAACACATAAAGGTTATGCTCATTATTAGTACCAACGCGATTGTAGTGTAGGATTAGTAGAGGCCTAGCTCTTTTGAGATGTAAGGTGGAAAAATACCGCGATGAGATCAATGTCTTGGACACTCCAACAAGGCAATCTGCGGGAAGTCTACTAAGGATTTCGATGAGGAGACAATCAGGCAAACGTCTAAGAAATGATAATTCTTCATCATTATCATATCTATGACACAAAATTTGTGTAATCCAACTGAAACATTCAAGTGCCATCACCTATATATATACAAATTAAACACAAGATTAGAAAACAATTTATATGAATCTGCAATTAAAAAAAAAAGGAAAAAGGAACTATCATAAAACATAGAGAAGATTGAAAAGACAGCCCACTTGACATGCATCCAACATAATATAATAGACAAAAGTAGAAAGTCTCACATTATTTAAGAGTTTGACATAAAAGCGGAAGTCCTCGACAAGTCAATCTAATACATCAAAAAAAGTGGTCGGGACGTAACCCATACACCACGTACAATGTCTGAAACGAAAACATAAGAAAAGTAAGTAAAGGTGACATGGTCCTCGGAACATGAGGACTCACCAAATCTTCAAATGTAGCAGTCCGAATCTAGCTAGATGAAGCTCACATAGACAATGTATAGCACTAGTTCATGTACTAAGTATGACGGATATGCATAAACATGAAAACATTATCATAAAGGGACATAACAGGAAAACATGATATGCATTCACCATGTTGGATCTCTACAAATTTCTTTCATAAGAAATCACAAATTTTACATGAACCAATCCATTCCCTGATGGATTAATTTATTTTGACTAGTATATGCCACGTTAGATATTAGTGAGCTTAGTGCAATATACATCAATGTTTTGACGTAACATTCTTAAAAATGACAAATCTACCTCAAGGGGTCTATTGGTTAATGAGATCAAGTGAAATGTGCGAGAATTAAGTTTGGATTTAAATTTTATACTTTCAACCCTACAAAATATAAATTTAATCATCCCAAACTTAATAGTCATGAATATAATCACAAGATAGCTTAGTTCGGGAACATAAGATATATCATCAGAAAGAAAAAAAAATTGTATTCAAACTAATATCAAAACAATAAATTGAGAGTTAGAGTAATAATACCAACAGTCACAGGGAAAAAGTGAACTAAGAAAAACGCCAACCCTGGAAACATAAACCTAAATTATTTTGAAGACAATAATTAGTAGGGGAAATTTCATAAAAGTACGGTTATTTAATTTTTATTGCAAAAATTTAAATATATAGTCATATTTTTATGGGAAAACTAAATAAATAGGAAACAAAATAGGAATAATTAATTAACATATATATATTTAAGACTTTATATTATATCATATACATCTACTTATAACTATTATTAATTTATAATATAACAAATTAATTATGAGGTATAACAGCTCCAAATTAATTAATATTAAATTAAATTTATTTTATTTAAAATGCATGTAAGAAAAGGTAAAGGATTTACGTTTTGAGTGGAGTTACCGAGGAAATTAAATTACTACCATTTAGGGAGGAGTCCGAGTTACTAGGAAACCAAATTACTACAAGTTAGGGAGGAGTTATCGAGGAAACTAAATCACATAATTTCCGAATGAGTTATTGAGGAAATCATATTACATGTTTTTTTAATCTTTTCAAAATGATAAAACTTCAACCATATCTTGTAATCTAAAATCTCTCTCCATAATCTTTTAAAAAAAAAATCATAATCATCTTCGTTTCCATGTTTATAGATTTCGATAATATGAAAAGTGACAATACTATCATTCAAATCTATCTATAAATAATATAAGAAGAAAAAGTGTCATGTGTCAGCACCACAATTTTTTTTTTATGAATTCTTAAAATTAATTTAAAATTTAAAAATCTTAAAATAAAAATTTAAAATTGCAATCACTAAAAAAAACTGTGTTTTAATGTTTAGAACTCTTCTTCTTCTTCCTCTTTTTTTGGAAGTTTTCAATTTTATCTATATACTAGTATACGTGCCCGCACGTTGCGCGGAGATTATTAAAAATTATTTAATTGTTCAAATATATTACATCATTTTGATTTTATTAAAATATAATTATCATCATATTTTTCATGCAATATACTTAATATCATGAATTTTTATATAACTAAAGGAACAAATCATATAAATGCATGCACACGATCATCAAATAACATTTTTGATAAAACTAAATATTATAATTATATATTTCTTATACAAACGTTTCAAAAATATATTATGATTAAAAATAAATAAGAATGAAAGAATTAAGAGAATATGTTGGTACACTCTCTCAAATTAATATATGAAAAAAAATTATTTATTATTTTCTTTCCAAAATTCATTGTTGTCCATATTAGTAATTATTAGATTTAAAATTTTTATTTTATAAAACTTAAATTGTTAAATTTTTTAAATTAATTTTGTGAATTCAATATAAGTATTGTTTTTAAAAGTCTCCATTATGCATGGAACAATTATTTCAGCCACGTATTCTCATTTCATATTCATCAGGTGTCTATGCTTCTACTCCTCTAAGTGTTATCTAAGTAAGCTAAACATTTTTTATTTATATAAAAAGGGAGGACGGACTCTTCAATTATAAAAAAAATTATTTTTGAGTTGAAAAATTGTATATCCACTATAAAAGTTAAATATGTGATAGTTATAACTAATAAGCATTACATTAAGTTATGGAATAGTTTAAAAATTAAGTACATTAAAAACATGATTCTTTTTTTTGTTTTTTTTGTTTTAATTTTTTTTATTTGAGTTTGCAGTTTTTATTTAAAAAATTTAACTTTTGTGGTGGTTACTGAGTAAGTTTACACATATTTTTAAAATTTTAATCAATTTTTTTTAATTTTATTTTATATTTTATAATCTTAAATTGCAATTTCAAACTATTTAATTTTCCGTTATTTATAAACTAATTTTAAAAAGGATAATGAAATTTTTGGAAAACAGTTACGTTGATTGATGAAGAATTATCCGTTTGTTTGAATATTTTATCACTAACCACTCCTTTTGTTTATTAGGTTAGAAGTGGGAAGTTAATGTGCAGTTAAAATAAAAATTTTTCTTTTTTTTTCATTATTATTATATAAAAATGTGCAGTTAGATGGTTCAAATTTTAAAAATACCTTTCCAAAAAAAGGACCACGACGTTGAGCTTTTTTAAAAAATATTTTTTATTTTATTTTTAATTTTCTTTTTAGTGTTTGAAATTTCTATTTTTATTTTTAGAATTCCAATTAATTTTAATAATTTACAAATTTTGTTTTTTTTGGTAGTGCTGACAATAAACATTATAAATTTTTTAAGAGTCCAAAACGTGTTAAAAAATATATACTACAATTATCTTTTTATTTATTAGTTTTATTTTCAATATTTGATGATTTATGTT